GGGGGTGCTGTGTGTGTATCTAGGGTGCTGTGTGTGTGTGTGTGTCTGGGGGTGCTGTGTGTGAGTGTGTCTGGGGGTGCTGTGTGTGAGTGTGTCTGGGGGTGCTGTATGTGTCTGGGGGTGCTGTATGTGTCTGGGGGTGCTGTGTGTGTCTCTGGGGTGCTGTGTGTGTATCTGGGGTGCTGTGTGTGTGTCTGGGGGTGCTGTGTGTGTCTGGGGTGCTGTGTGTGTGTGTGTGTGTCTGGGGTGCTGTGTGTGTTCTGGGTCTGTGTGCTGTGTGTGTCTGGGGGCTGTGTGTGTGTCTGGGGTGCTGTGTGTGAGTTGGTGTGTGTGTCTGGGGGTGCTGTGTGTGAGTTGGCTGTGTGTGTCTGGGGTATGTGTGTGTGTCTGGGGGTGCTGTGTGTGTGTGTCTGGGGGTGCTGTTTGGGAATTAATTTTAAGTATATATATTTTTTTTTATTAATAATTTTTTTTAAAGTTATGTCCCCCCCCCTCCCTTCTTACCTTTAGCCTGGGAGGGGGAGGGAGCCGTTCTGCCTGGGAGGGGGAGCCTTGAGGGGACCATGCTGCCTTCCCTGGTGGTCCAGTGGTGAGAGTGAACTCTAACCTGCAGGTTAGAGTTCACTCTCGCGAGATCTGAGCGTTGCCGCGGCAACGCTCAGAATCTCGCGAGAGGACCCGGCGGAGCTGCTTGTTAGAGCTCCGCCGGGTCCTCCCTCCCTCCCTCACCCAGCCGGCGGCCGCATCTCCCTGTCTGTGGGCCGGTGAGGGAGATCTTTGATCTCCCCACCGGCCCACGGAGGCACACAGCAGGGCCGGCGCTCGGATAGCGCTGGCCCTGCAGGGGCTGGCCGGGGAGATCCCCTGCCGGCCTCGGCCCCACGGCCATCGCGGCCCACCGGGCATTTGCCCGGTATGCCCGATGGCCAGTCCGGGCCTGATCTATACACTAAAACTGCTTTATTTAGCTAAAGTAATTTATAGTGTTCCTTTCAATATACACTGATATCATCATAAGAAAGGGGACACATCAAAATCCATATTCAATCCCCTGGACTCCAAGCAATCCAAGGTGTGGATCCAGAAAGTCTCACATTTTTAACCCCTTAAGGACACATGACATGTGTGACATGTCATGATTCCCTTTTATTCCAGAAGATTGGTCCTTAAGGGGTTAAGAAGTTATTGTCTATCCTGCCCCCTAGTTTGCCTAGGGACAGAATCAATGATTTGCCATTTTAACATGGAAATTGTGTATTTATTATATGGGTCAGTGCTCTTCTGCATGTGTTAATATTGCCTATTCTTTTTCTTTCTTTGAAATAAAAAAGAAATAAAAAGTGAGATTTTCTGGCTGTGGTTCCTGCCTTATATAATATGTAATGGATACACTTAAATTGAAGATGGGATTGCTACATAGCAGGCTTCCCCAAACTCCGGCCCTCCAGATGTTGTTGAACTACAACTCCCATGATTCTATGAATCAAATAGATAGGCTGAGAATCATGGGAGTTGTATTTCAGCAATATCTGTAGCGCCGGAGTTCGGGGAAGCCTGCTATATAACATCCAATTACACACTGAATGGCTGTTTGCACTGAAAACACTGAATGGCTACAAGCCTATTAGGTAATATAATGCAGGAAACTTGATTGCTAACCTTGTTGCAATTAATTCATTATGGCTTTATTAGAAGACATAACAAGGATTATTATTTTTTTTTTTATATGGTTTCCAATTCTTTATTTTTGTAGTGCATAGACAGACATACAAACTTTTACTGACATATTATAAAGAGTAAATGAGACAGAGACATTGCATATATGAGACAGGACATGTCAAGACACTTGCACATTTAAAAAAAACATTTTAAGAGAGAATTTAAGATCACAAGTGTTTTGCGGTGCAGTATACAGACATAAAGTGGAAATGTCATATGATGTAAAAACAGAACGAGAGAAAAATAGGTGTATAGCTAAGCTGGGCATACACGTCTAGGTACAAATTAAACTCAAGATATGAACTCTTATGAAAAAATAAACAGAGTGTAAGACATGTAGCTGATTGGTCAGGCTTCTCAGCAAGTGTTAACTGATGGTATGATAAAATACAATTGTGTTATCCAGCTTACAAAAACATGGATAAATGTAGGAAAATTAGAGTAACGATTAACACGACTGAGTGTATATAAGCCCCTTGGGGGGCCCTCAATAAGTTGGCATAGACGCAATTTGACTGAGAATCAGCGGCATTATGTACAGACTGGCACAAAGAAAAAAAAAGAGGGTATAATAAACAAGTGCATATATAGAGAGCCTGTCAGACAGAAGCAACATATCGAATATAAATCAGCCTATCCCTTCACTCTTCGCTAAGCAATGGCACATAGGTTTTGATCTGTTCACAAGAGCCCAATGAGAACCCCGGAACCACATCACACCAGCTCCTGGCCTTCACATGAACCTGCACTCCAGCTCCACTGTCCCAGACATTAAAGGAACACTATAGTCACCTAAATTACTTTAGCTAAATAAAGCAGTTTTAGTGTATAGATCATTCCCTTGCAATTTCACTGCTGAATTCACTGTCATTTAGGAGTTAAATTACTTTGTTTTTGTTTATGCAGCCCTAGCCACACCTCACCTGGCTATGATTGACAGAGCCTGCATGAAAAAAAAACTGGTTTCACTTTCAAACAGATGTAATTTACCTTAAATAATTGGATCTCAGTCTCTAAATTGAACTTTAATCAGATTCAGGAGGCTCTTGCAGGGTCTAGCAAGATATTAACATAGCAGGGGATAAGAAAATCTTAATTAAACAAAACTTGCAATAAAGAAAGCCTAAATAGGACTCTCTTTACAGGAAGTGTTTATGGAAGGCTGTGCAAGTCACATGCAGTGAGGTGTGACTAGGGTTCATAAACAAAGGGATTTAACTCCTAAATGGCAGAGGATTGAGCAGTGAGGCTGCAGGGGCATGTTCTATACACCAAAACTGCTTCATTAGGCTAAAGTTGTTCAGGTGACTATAGTGTCCCTTTACCAAAGTCTGGCGCCTTTTTCCAGGGAAGTCACGGCTTCGAACGTTGCGGATGCCTCTGCCCTCCGTGGGTGTGGATGTGGGCGTCGAGGGGGGCATCCACCCAGTTTAGTTCCCAGCCTTGGAAGGAGTTGCTGCCGCACAGTGACTGGAGTAAAACTCAATTTGCACAGACCGGCATTCCGGGGTGCCGGTCTCCGGCTTGTTGATGCTAGAGAGGTAAGTGTGCCTTTGCTCACTGATGCAGCATCTCCCAGAAGCACTCAAGCAGCCAGTCATATTTAGTGAGGACAGCGGCGGGTTGCGGGGTTGAGTCAGGTACATGGTGATGCACCGCCATCTTGTAAAGCAGGTCTAAGTGCCTCTGTGTACAGATATTTTCCATTGAAGATGCAGGTAAGAGCGGCAGCTTCCCCAGTAGGGACTGGGATAACCTCCATCGGTCCAAAGGGGGAGGTAATGGGGTCAGCAAGATGTAGTGTTGTAGAGCCTACGTGATTCCCCTGGGCAAAGGAGCAGAGCGGCGGCTGTCCACACTACTCGCAGTCCTAGAAACCTCAGACACAGGAGCAGCAGCTCTCCCTCTAAAGAACTCCAAAATAAAGTTATTTTGGGTGTATACCCAGCTCCTGCAGCTGTTTGTTAAATATATTGCTGATTGTCTGTTGCTGGATGGTTAATGTTTCAGCTTTCTGTTTGTGCAGGAGCTCATATTGCGCACAGCCTGGTCCCTCCCTCCCTTTGTTAATTCTTTCCCTACTGTGATGCAATGATTTGGATTATGTATATTTGTATTTTAATATGCTCTTTGTTTGTATATATTGGTGTTTTTCTAATGTATTCTATTGCGTTCCTTCTGTTTGGTGTGGTAATGGTTAAGTTTTCACAATGTATGCCTCATCTCAGGACCCTGTTTAAGCCTTGTACTACAGAGAACTCGAGATGGAAGGATTTCCCCAAGTGAGTAGCTCATTTAGCAGACAGAGTAGGACCTGCCAAAAATGTGGTACATTGGCATTGTTGCAGGCTTATGCAATGTATGATCATATACTGTAACTAAACCCCCATTATTTTTTGCCTAGATTAGGTGTTTTTAATAAAACTAACAAAATTGTTTAGCACTAAAAAAAACAGTTTAGTAGATAAGTGAGTGCGCTGGATTTTCATTTTTACTGAACTTTTGGTGTTGCGACACCTTCATTGTTTTTTTTATTGCATAAGAGGTAAGTATAAGGAAACCTTGGATTTTTACATGCAAACTTTAACGAGCGGAGTGCTGACACTCAGATTTTTTTTGTATTATGATATAATATACAGCCGTGCCTTTAACAGCCAGTCATGATAAAACAGCTATTTATGACATAGGGGACACGTCAAATTATGACCTATTATATAAGAACTGCCAACAAATAATGACTGCAGGCCCTGCGTTTACCAGCCAATCATACCCTTAACTGCCAGCCATGCTTTAACAGCCATCCATAATATATCAGCCAGTTGTCACATGGCATCACCAATCAGTTATGACATAACAGTAAACTATGGTGTTAATTATCAACCATGATATAACAGCCGTTAGATAGCTCCAAGTGAGACAGCACATTTTAAATGACACCTGTCATGGTGCAATCATGACTTTAGATCAGTGTTCCTCAACCCAGTCCTCATCGACCACCAACAGTCCAGGATTGATGTATTTCCCTTTTTTATTCAAATAGAGATACTGAAAAAACCTGGACTGTTGGTGGTCCATTAGGAATGGTTTGGGGATCACTGCTTTAGATGACAATGTGACATAAGAGCCAGTATGTGTTAAACTGTCAATGTCAATAACAGTCAGCCATGAAATCACAACCAGCCATGTCATCACAACCAGCCATGGCAACACAGCCAGCCATGACAGACCAAACAGCTATGACATCACAACCAGTGTGGTAAACTGTCAATATGACATCACAGCCAGCCATGACATCACAGCCAGCCATGACATCACAGCCAGCCATGACATCACTGCCAGCCATGCCATTACAGCCAGCTATGAAATCACAGTTGGTCATGACAAACCAGCAAGCCATGATATCACAATCAGCCAAGACACAAGAGCCAACTATGACATCACAGCCAGCTACGACAAACCAGCTTGCTATGACATCACAGCCAGCCATGACATCACAGCCAGCCATGACAAAACAGCCAACTGTGACATCACAGCCAGCTACGACAAACCAGCTTGCTATGACATCACTGCCAGCCATGACATCACAGCCAGCCATGACAAAACAGCCAACTGTGACATCACAGCCAGCTGTGTGGTAAACTGTCAATATGATATAGCAGCCAGCCTTGACATCACAGCAGCTCTGCCTTTAACAGTTGTACAATATTTTCTTAACATGTGTTAAGGGAAATACCAAAAGGGAAACAAAACAATATTTTCTTAACATGTGTTAAAGGGAATACTAAAAAAAGGATTGCATCCAAAATGTAAAATTTTGAATAGTAATACCTAAATTAAACCTTTTATTGAGGAGACGTTAAAAGTGAAAATACACAACAACAAAAAAACACTTTACGAAACATACTGTGAATAAGTGAAGCGGAGGGAGGTAAGAGTGAATGTATAAAGATCACTGAGCAGCACTTAAATGATTGGCTACGGTATAGAAATACAGGGTTACAGTACAAAACAGGAATACCCTTAGCTGATGTCTGAAAACAGCCCTGAATACAGAAAAGGGGGGTTGAAGGGATAAAAATTATAAACTATAAAAAAAGCTTTATTGAGCAAATAACAAATATTATTTATTGATATAATAAAAATTTACATGAACATATGACCCAGTTCCCCTAAAAACACAGTGAATTACTAATCTATCTGAGGACAGCACAGGCTGGGTAACGGTAAATAGTGTATCAATAGCTCAAAGAGTTACACACTAATCTACCCTAAATACAGAAAAGGAACTCAGCACATATAAAGCCTAAACATGTGCTGTAATATTTACTTACCTCCATATTGTGCACACATTTTGTTGTATAAAAGCCTAAACATGTGCCCACATTACCAATCAGGAGGAATAGCAAGTAATACAGTAGAAAAGGACAGTGAAGATAGGCTACTATTCAGAAGAAATCTCTTAAAATTAAATATCCATTAACCTCGATACATGAACTTTGTACCTACATTACCAAACTCGATATAGAGAGGATAGATACCTTCCTTCTCAAAACAAAATAGCAGGATGAGACAGGGGTCCTCATAGACTGATAAAAACAGCTAATTTTAGTTAATAATTAGTTTATAGTCTCCGGAGACAAAACAAACAAAAAAAGTGTTAATGGTTAATTTTTTAGCTTATTTTTTACTCTGAGAAAATAATCCATGCATGCCTTTGACTTTCAATAGGGAGCATAATCTAAGCGTACACAGAGTTATTCACTATCAGGCATTTTAACGTAAGTGTGAATTCAAAGTTAATTTTAAATTTAAGGAAAAAAAAAAAATGAAACTATTGCTAACTTCAAAATGTTTACATTTCAAATATTTTGACCTAAAATTTACTTGAACTCACTTTAGTGTGCAACTCTATAAAATGCGAATTGCAGTAAATTCGAGTGAATTTCAAATTATAAACCAAAATTTAAAAAAAATAAAAAAATAGCTGACATTGAGTTTAGTGAGTTGTTAACTGACTTTGAAAAACTTGGACTAAAATATCTTCAATGTCGATAAGGGGGGTTGTGAGGGGGGGGTTTTCAGTAAATGAGGAATTGTGGGATTAAGCGAATTTTATCCAAAACAGGATGGAAAAAGCTACATTTTGCATCAAATTATCTTAGGTGAAAACTTGCAATTTATTGGTTAATTCTTGACAAGTAAATAACCCTGAAAGTGGTCAGCATTTAAAATTTAACCCTCAAATGAAATTCTTGAAATTCCTAAATACTTCCCAGGTTTTAACCATGTGATGACGGCTTTGTGGTGATAGGTGTCAGCATTTTGTCCATATCTTCCCCATACAGCCACCTGTTTATGTAAACGTGTCATAATAACATTAGAGTTACTTATTAAACTTTATGATTACTAATGATCATTTTAACACAGTAAATAAAAGATATGTATGCTTACGCAATGTATCATCATATACTGTAACTAAATGCTCATTATTTTTAACTATCAGGTGTCTTTAAAAAAATACTATAAAAAATAGAGAAGAGGGTTGCATTCAATCACAAAAATCACAGGGTGCTGAGTATGGATCAGCATAACCCATAGAATATACATAAAATAAAAAAATCACAGGGTGCTAACTGAGTATGGATCAGCATACCCCATAGAAAATACATTCAAGAATAAAATCTCAGGCACTCACTGTGATATTTTTAAAGCAGCTTTAAAGGATCTGCAACCTCTTCGACCTGTACCCAGATCTTTATCAAGCTAGTTTGATAAAGACCTGGGTACAGGCAGGGCCAGATTAAGAGCCCAGTGGGCCTGGTGCTGACAATTATGATGGGGCCTAATTACAGAATCTTATTGACCAAAAACACTAGAACAGTCATACCTCTCAAGCGTCATGTATCTGGAGGGAAACTCAAAGGATGCAGCTATAAGAAAACACATACTCTATGCTAATCTCTTTATCTAATTCATGGTTCGTCAACCTGGTCCCTACAGCCCACTAGTGAGCGTTTCAGGATTCCAGGTGGGCGTTAGGGATTTCCTCATTTGGAGAGATTGGGTGGGCGGGCGAGCCGGCAGTACCCCTGCGACCGGGTACCGCCATCACCATTTGCGGCCCGGGCAGCAAACCGCCGGGGCCACAGTCCAAGGGGTCCATCGGGTGGCCAATGCAGTCAGGGCCACCCAATGGATGTGGATTGTGAGGGGGCCCAGTCAGCACTGGGCGCTTTAACAGCGTGACCGGGCCCCCTGTGATTACATCACAGAGCTGGGAGGAAGTGACTGCATGGCACTCCTCCCAGCTAACACTGAGAGCCGCGCGGGAGGAAGACCAGGGAGCTCCCATCCACCTGAGCCACCACTGGACCTCAGGGAAAGTCACCCTCCTGCACCTTAAAGGTAGGAAACAGGAGGGTGACTTAAATATAATGTGTGTGTGTGTTTGTGTGTATGTGTCTTTGTATGTATGTCTTGTGTGTGTGTGTCTTTGTATGTATGTCTTGTGTGTGTCTGTATGTGTGTGTATGTGTCTTTGTATGTATGTCTTGTCTTTGTATGTATGTGTTGTGTGTATGTGTCTTTGTATGTATGTGTGTCTTATGTATGTGTCTGTATGTGTGTGTGTCTTGTGTCTGTCTATCTGTATGTGTGTCTTTGTATGTATGTCTTATGTGTGTGTATGTGTGCATGTCTGTGTGTGTGTGTGTGTTTCTGTATGTGTGTATGTATGTGTGTGCCTGTCTATTTGTATGTATGTGTCTTTGTATGTGTGTCTTGTGTGTATGTGTATGTGTGTCTGTATGTATGTGTGCCTGTCTGTTATAGTGGGCTACCTAGTTCAGCCTTCCTACTGAGTATTGCTATAAGTAAGGTTAAAAAATAGAAAAAAGGAAAAAAAAAAAGATGGGGAGGGGAATTGAGGAGGGAGAGGAGGGGAGCTGACGCACAGATGAGAAATCATATTATGCGCAAACAGAGAAGTCGTCTGAATTTCACCGAAAGAGGAGACCTTAGTTTGTTCCTTACGAAAATCGAACCAGATATCAAATATTTAGTCTCGCAGCATCAACCTCAAGGATCTCATTAATCACTAGTAAAGGTAATTTTAATTTACTTTATTGTTTTCTCAATAAACTTTATAAAGTTAAAAACATTATAAACATGCATTAAGTAGAAATAAAAAGATAAATGTACTTACATTTAATTTTTTTTAAATGCCCTCCCTACTAGTCGGTGCTGGTATTGCAGAGTAATCTCCGTTTATACTGAGAAAAATATTTGCATTTGTATTGCCGGTATTACTGCAATACCATCACGGCCAGGCAGCCTCAAATACCAGCTGTGCCTTAAAATACCAGTCACATGGCAATTTTTTTTTTTTAAATGGGCCAATTCCATGGGCCTGGAGCTGCAGCTCCATCAGCCCCTATGTTAATCCGGCCCTGGGTACAGGTCAAAACGTTGCCTGAGATTTTTTTATTTCATTTTTTCTTTTAAAAAATACTATAAAATTTTGTGAGCTTTTAAGCTGATGTTTAGTGAGTGAGTGCACTTAATTCTGTATATGTATATATATCAATAAGAAGCCAGCACTTAAAGGTATTCAATAAAAAAGTTGTAAATTATTGGTATTCCAAAAAAGTTACATGAAGGTAGTCAAAAAAAGTTGGCGTTTCAGTTCTATGTAAGAACTTTCATCAGGACGTAGTTTAAAAGTTCTAAGAAACAAATCCTATTTCTAAAAACAAATCTACCATCCACCTGAGCGCTGCTTGGCGTGTTCCGGTATCGCAGGCGTATGCAAGTAAAAGGGGAGAGATGACAGCAAACCAGAAAATAAGGAGATCCCTCTAACATCCTTAAGAATGTATAGAAAGCCAAAATACTATAAAAGGCTGCACCACAAAAATAGACCAAAACAGTAAACCTGATAAAATAGTCACAAAAACAGAAACACACTAAAAATAGCCACAAAAAAATCCATAAAATTTAAAAAGCAAAAAAGTGGAATTTATCAGCAGTTCAAAGTAATTTATGAAAATAAATTATAGTACATGCCACTAAAATAAGGCAAACCACAGCAGAGGTTTCCATGTGTCCAGTTTTATCCTTGTATACTCACAATAAATAGAGCAGAAAGACCACTCTATGTAGAAGGTGCTGGTGGTATAAACCCCCCTAGGATTCTTTGATAGGTTCTGCGTCCTGCGTGGTGAACCGCGTTGTGGATATAATGTTTTGCTTTTACTATAATAAAGGATTATTGGCTACTTTGCTTAACAAACTGTGCCATTTACTTTGTTATTTCTATTATTTTTTTTAATATATATTGTGTTCCTGCATTTCCTAACATCCTGTGCATCACCTACACAGGAATCAAAGAATGCCAGGTGGGGATCATACCAATGGCGCCTTCCATATAGAGCGGTCTGTCTGCTCTATATATTGTGAGTATTTTTTTATTCACTATCATCCACTGGTTTTATATAAACAGTGAGCACTATTGTTCTGTTTTTCGTTTTTTATTTTTTGGCTTTCATGATTGCTTTGCTGCTGCTGTGGACATCTATACCATTTCCTACAAGTGGGGATTTATACCACCGAATGCTGTGCACACTAGAGCTGGTTGTAGCTCTATTAAATGTGAGTAAGCCATCATTATTTGTTGCCTAAATTCTGCCAGTATTTACATACTGTAATATTGGATTATCTGTTGTGCTTTGCTTTCATACATATTCACACATCAAGATACCAGAATCCCTATTGTGTTTCTCCTCACAAGGATAAGACTGGAAACCATTGCTGTGGTTTGCCTTATTTTAGTTGTATTCACTATTGTTTATTTTCATAAAATACTTTGGACTGCTAATAAATTCCATGTTTTTGCTTTTTAAATTGTATGTTTTCATTGTGGCTATTTTTAGTGTGTTTCTGTTTTTGTCTATTTTTGTGGCTTATTCATTTCTAGCATTTTGGCTCTCATGTAATAATGGGCTATTGATAATTGGCGTCTAAATAAGGAAAGTGCGTGCTCTCTTAAAACCTTGCCCTGGGACTCATGCACATAAGTTTGTTTTTTTTTAATTTTATTATAGTTCACTGTCATTAAGCACTGCGTTCAATCACCACCAGCGTCATGTTGCTATTAGCAACCAGACGGATAACAACATCATTGTGCAATGCATGCTGAATGGGGATCTTCATTGGACACGGGGGGGACCTGACCGCAGTTGCTGCCAGGAGCTGCATTTTGATATCTATGGGAAGGCACTGACAGCTAATTAAGGGATCGAGGAAGCCTAGGATGTTGAAATAATTCTGGAGATGAACCCCACTTGTGGCACATGTGCCTGCGTTACCGAGCAGAGCTCAGGTTTATTCTTATAAACAGTATTTGTTTCTTAGTATATTTTAACTATGTCTTGATGAAAGTTCTTGCATAGAACTGAAACGTTGACTTTTTTTGACTACCTTCCTATAATTTATTTGGATTACCAGTAAAGGAAAGCTTCATTATCGAATACCTTGGAGTGCTGCCTACTTATTAACATTTATCTATCATTGTGGCT